GAACCAAAACAGACGCCGAAGCCAAACCCGACCCGGCGGGTAGACTAGCATGGCGAAGTTCAGACTCCCGCACAACCGCTCGAGCAACCGCCGAGTGACCCGGGACCCTCTCAGAAACAGCAAACGGCGGTCCCGCAGCCGCCGCAACGCCACCGGAGGTAGAGACAAGGAAGCGGTCCGAGAATCCCAAACAAGACCCAGCCAGGTCCGAACCTGGGACGGAACCAGAAGGGACTACCTCCAGTTCACCAGGAACCCGAACCTGGCGAGCTGGGAAAGAACCAAATCCCTGGCGAGCAGACAAGCTGACCGACTGGGAGCCCACACCAGCCAGTCGTCGAGGTAGGCCAAAACCCGAATCCCTAGAAGACGCAGACGGGTCACCACAACTCGGGTCAGACGCGTGAAAACGCGAGGTGCCAGATTCAGGCCAAAAGGTAGGCATCGAAAACGGTAAGCGTGACGCCCTACCACGAAGCCTAACCAGTCCCTGAACCCCGGATGAATAGGAACGTGCCAATACGCGTCCTTTAGGTCCAGGGACACCATCCAGGCACCCGGCTCCAACAGAAGCCGGACCTGAGACAGAGTAGTCATCCGAAAGGAGGGGCAAGGAATCCAGGGGTTCAGACGGGACAAGTCCAGAATGAACCTCAGATCCGCACAGTCCCGTTTCGGCACTGGAAACAGGCGGGAAACCCACCTGAGGGACGTAGTCGGTTCGACCACGCCCAAGCGCACCCACTCCAAGATGACTTGACGAAGCGCAGGAGAAGAGACCTGCCCTGTTAGCCCCGAACCCCCCAAAGGAGGACGAGTCGCCCAACGCCACCGCAGGCCGGATGACACGACCGAAAAGGCCCACAAATCGTGGGACCAAGCGTGGGCAAACAGAGCGAGCCTCCCCCCCATCGCCCCGTCAACGGGGCAAACCGCGAAAGGGCCGACGCCCCGCACGAGAACCCAACCGTCGAACAGGGCGAACACTGCGCCGCCCAGACGACGCTGGCCCCAAAGGGAACAACGGCTCAGAAACCGGCACCAAAGGCCCACCTCGACCAGCAGAAACCGAAACCCTGGCACGACCCCTCCGAAACTGCCGAGAACGACTGCTCCGGAGAATCAACAAGTCCGCCATAGGACGACAACTAGCCGAAGCCGCATGCAGAAACTGGGACACCGCAGACTCTGCAAACAGCAACGGACAAAAAGGAGACGAAAACCTAAGAGCCAGGGCCCAAGCGGAATCCAAAGAGAGGGCGAGCACAGCCTGACGGCACGCGAGGCGAGAAGCAAAAAACAGAGACACCGCTTCCTTCAGGATGGGCGCAAAGAGCTTCAACAGTGCAGCCGACGCCCTAGCTGCCGAAGAAAGCGCCCCGGACGAAGGCCCTTCAGCCAACGCTCCCACATCCTCCTCGAGCCAAGCAGAAGAGAGCTCGAGAAGGGAAAAGAAACGCAAGACCGAAGCCAAATGCCCACGGGAGCGCAACTCCTCCGCAACCAATGAAGCCGAAAGCTGAGGAACCTGCACGTGAAGCTGGAAAAGGCCAACATCCCGAGAAAGCACAGGAGCGAATAAGCACGCATTAAGGTGCTCAAACTCGCCCCCCAGGTAAACCTGCATAAAAGTAGCAGTCTCGCGCCAATCAAGCGTGCGGGTCCGACAGAACCCATGCCACGCCCCCAACGAAAAGAAAGGGCAGTCTGCTAGCCAGGAAGACCCCGGAACCTCCAAACGTACCCAAAAACGGGAAGAAGAACCAAACTCAAACGAGGACGGATCCATTGGGGAGGCATAACCCGGGTCTCGCAAGAGGTATGCAGCAAGAGCTTCCCGAGCCACCTTCGCGGAGAGACGGGAAGTAGCAAACCCCTGTAAAGACGGAGCCGAGGTACCCAAAGGCGCCCGGAACCGAACACGGGGAGGAGCCGAACCCAAATCATACTCATACAGGGAGGGAGGATAAGAAAACCCCTCCCCCTGCAACAATAAACCCCGTGGGGAAGGCAAAAGCACCCAAGCGGGGTCACAGGGGGCCCAAGGCCCCCAGGCCGACTCCTCCCCAGCCCCAGGATCCCTTACGTCGGGACCCGGGGCAGAGCCGTCCTCCAAACCCTCTACCCCTGAAGAAAAGGTAGAGTCCAAGGGAAAGGCAGACAAGGGGGCCTGCTGGTGGGACCCAGAAGCCTCGGCAGGAGGAACCGGCTCAAATGCCTCCGTCCCCGACCCGGATGGGGCAGCCCCCGAAGCAGCCCGAGTCTCTCCACCAACTAAATCCTGTGCCAAGGCCGAAAGCCGCATACGTTTCGGAGCCGGACACAGGGGGGGTGGTGCAGGAAGAACCACAGGGGAAGGACCAGAGGGCGTAGGAGTCAAAGCCATAGCAATCAACGCCCCCAGGTCAGGGTCCCTAAAACCAAAACGGGGCAGCCTCGGGGCATCCAGGCGGGAAACCGACCTAGCGCGTTGCAATAACCTAAATCTAACATGCAACGCTGATGCTGCCTGTACTCTAATAGGAACATCCTCAGAGTAAAACCTGAGCACAAGCAGAGAACAGGACTCGCAAGACTCCGGGTCAAAGGTGTCATTGACCCAACAGGCAGCATGACGGAGGCAAAACAGGTGACTGTCACCCTGAGACAAGGGCACACTGCAACCTTCAAACCCGCACAAGGCAGGCTGGAACTCGGGAGACGCCTCCATGGGTCCCCGAGCCCCGACAGGGGTTTCCAGGGCCCGTAGGGTAGCAACTACGGGAAGCCCGGGCAAGGTGTTGCTAACCGGTTAAGAAACCCAAACAAAACACGGGTAAATGATAATACTGAAAACCCCTGGGACGTGTAAAAGAAGGGGGCCTAGCAGAGGACCACCAAAACAATACCAGGGGAACTATGGGCCCACGAAGCAGCACCTCCACCAGGCAACCAAAAACAAAACAAAAGAAAAACCCCGCAAAAGTACACCGTCCCCAGAGCAACAGGAACCGGTCGCCGCTTAGGTGGCAGGCCGCGCAACACCTTGACGCCCTAACCAGCACAAAACCACTCCCTACCCAAGGCCAAACAAGGGCCCCAAGCCCCAGCTGGCCCCAAGGGCGAGGCAAATGCCGAGCAGCAAAAACCTCTACGGGAGCGGTTCCCGAACGCCCCAGAGAAGATAACCCTGACACGCAAGGGCAGTACTCACAGGGCGCCTAGGGAAGGAAGCCCTAGACGCATGCAGCCCCGGCACTGATGAAGTACTCCTGGCCACCGCACACCACAACAACAGCAGAGAACGCCACACGAGGCAAACACCGCCAAGGAATTTGAGGCCAGAGAAGCGTCTATCCCGGTTGACACTAGCTTGCGAACTGACGGCAGCCGGCGCGGTGAGGTCCGGGGCCCCCCCCCCCCTCCCCCTCCCGGGGAGGGGAGGGCTGCGCGGACGACCGGCGCGGCAGTAAATTGATTGTTTGATTGTTTTCCTTGGGATTGTAGGGAGTTTTCTACCTCTCTGTTCGGTTTTTGTTGTAGTTTTTTACCATGTGGGGTTTGTTTTGTTACGCCTACCTTTCTGGGTGCCTAACCCCGGTCGATGGCAGATAAGGAAAACCCCCAACCATATGGGGTTTTCCAGGGCCATTGCTCCCTGAAACCTCTCTGAAGGGGCCAGGTTCTGGCGCTGGTCCCTGGTAGGTCTGAACTCCATAGCTAATGTCCCGGTCTAACATAACACACATTAGCCCGATAAGCTCCAGGGAGCCGTAGGGGCTCCCCCCAGAAAAAATGATTAAAGGCAGGAAAAACTTAAATTTCTACAACAAATTTTTAAAATAAATTATAATATAGAATCTATTGTAAATTTAAATTTCAGTGCATACATCTATTTACTCCCAACACTGGCATTCTTAGATTTGCTTTCATGTTCAGTATCTAGGAAAAAGTTGATGAGCAAATCTCTGAAGTGTCATGAAGAAAGGTGGTATATGCACAGGACCCCAACTTTGTTTTTATTTATTTATATATATATATATATATATATATATATATATATATATATATATATATATATATATATATATATATATATATATATATATATATATATATATATATATATATATATATATATATATATATATATATATATATATATATATATATATATATATATATATATATATATATATATATATATATATATATATATATATATATATATATATATATATATATATATATATACATATACATATATATTGTACACAGTTCCTTTATTTATCTATTAACTTTTTCATTATAAAGATGAGAGGAGATACCAAATATGAGAGATAGTTTAGAGAAGCACAAGACTTGATGATTACTGCTGCTGTAAGTTTAACAACACGTCCAGTGCTGCCGGGCTGGAGGGTCACGTCACTAGTGCAGCAGCAGGCTTATACGAGCAGTTGGTCTCAATTGATTTGAAATGGGGCAAGATGGGTAGTCTGTTATAGTATATAATAAGATTTTATTTTTTGACACTACACATTTGTAGATCAAATCTTCTGTAGAAAGAGAATCAGAGCTCATTAAAAGGTAGCAATGACTTACAGTTGCTACCCATGTAAAAAGAAAAGTATGTTCATTCAATATTTGGGAAAATATAACCAATGATTCTTGATCAATAAAACCTTAACATAAAAATTTAATATGCATATTTGTGCATTAATATTATGATTCATAACCAGTGACAATCTTCACCGCACTCGAGCAAGTGCACATGCTGATGTTTTCTTGAATTTGTTACAAATATACAAAATATAATATTTAGACCTATCCAGTATCCAAAATACAATTTTTTTGAAACAATAAAGTTGTTATGATGGCCTGTAAAAGTAGTGACAAGGTTATATAATTGTCAATGATGCCCCTGGCCTAAATTAACAAACTACAAATCTTTAAACTTGTGTTCATGCAGCAACTATGAGCATCCCATCTTGCCCCTTGGCTGTGGGAAGAGCCTAGTTTACCTGCGGCTGCGGGGTAGTGGTGCCCAAGGTCTTTCCACCCTCCTCTTTCCCTGCACCCCGTGGCGGCTGCGAGAGAACATGGAAGCTTAGCCAGGCTGACTGACGGTCACCTGCCAAGCACTGTCCGTGATTGTATCGACAGCTTTTACTCCAGGCATTATATTTCAGCAATGCCAATAATGCATAATTCTTTCAAGGTTCAATAACTGTCATGTCATTGTAATCTTGCACCCGACTCTAACTTCCTGTGCCACTACCACAGACCTTGAGAGGAGGAGCCTCTGCATGACACAGAAATGCACTGCACTCGAACTCTTCCCGCAAACGATTAAAGTAAACAAAATGCTACAGCACTTCATAATGAAAATTAAATAAAATTATAAGAAAAACTAGAAAAAAGTACTGACAACAATATATGTGAAACATCACATCATTTGTGACATTGAATTCTTCAAACTGAATGATAAATCACCCTTATTTACATTATACTTCAGAAAATCAATAATTTATCAGATGCTGTACATCATATCAAATTGGGAAGCAGTTGAAATATCTTAAATATTGATTCTAATCAAGTGGTACAGATAAACTGTTATTACTCAGTTGAATATATTGGTTCTCAGCCATCTGTACCATACTGTGGTAGAACTTTGGATGAATAGCACAAGAGAAAAATGAAAGAAAAGAACATGATGAAATTCTGCAAATCTATGGTACAGAGAATGTCCTATAATCATAGCTAATGTTCAAGATTATATTCAAATACAGAATAATAAACAAATAAACAAAGTAAAAAGTTAAAATATGTTACTTGTACTACCAAAACCAATAGCCAATAACATTACCCCAAGCTGAAATTGATGATTCTCTTCCTTCAAAGTTAAAACAATTGGCTTCTAAGCATTTTAAAGGTCACTATCACCAGCATAGAATTAATCGTATCAAGTGTCTGGTGCTTTGGGTGAACCGAGACCTCGTGGGGGTGAGGATGCTAGGTTGCCTCGTACTATGCAACCTCTCACTTCAGCTGACAGCTTGAAACATATATATATCTCCTGTACTAGCAGTTAAAGTGATCTATGTCATTTCTGCAGTTCATGAATTCCATATGTAACTTACAACTTTCATAGTGTTCATCAAATATTCAGGGCTTTTTTTATATTTTTTTTTTAGATGGGAGGAAAGCAAAGATGTTGCCCTAATGAAGACACCGTTGTTATTAATAAATATTGTTATTAATTAGTACTTAAAATTTATCCCTAAAAGATGTTGGGTTTGTTATATAATGGCTCCTTTTTAGAGAGAAAGACTTTTTTTTCAGGTCAAGGGTTGTAGGACACCCACAGACCCTCCTCAGACCCCCAACCCACCTCCAGAAGCCAGTTATAATGGCCCTGGGGGCAGAGTGTTAGTCTGCTCTCAATACCTGGCACTGAAAGGCACCATTCCAAGGAGAAGGATCAGAGATAGGTATCAGTTGTAAAGGGATGGCCGAGCTGCCTTCATCATCAGAGTGGATGGGGCCACCCCTGGAGGAGAGCGAACTACTGTACCTCTAAAGCTAAACCCTGACCAGTTTTTGAAACTCTTAAACACTGTGGAACTGGAACCAGGGGAGGATGGGGGGGGGAGGGCACCAGAAGCTGGGTGATCCACACCAGCATGGAAAGAAAATGGAGGGACAGGCATAGCCAGGTTATGACTCTGATCCCCAGTAGGTCAAACAGGACTCCTATGATTAATGTGACCCAGTAGTCCAGTAGTAAGAAGCCATATCAGCGAGATAGCTTCAGGCAGTCACCAAGCTGCTTTCTCCCCCCCCCTTTAAAAAATTAGTTATTTCCATTATTGGTGGGAATAAAATGAAAAATGAGGTGTCACAGTGAAAGGCTTAAATACAGCTTGACTTCCCATTACAAAGTTTGTCCTATCTGATCTATTCCTACTGGCTGGCTTTCATCTAGTTCCTTCAGATAATTTGTTTTACCTAAATATATTTTAACTCCTCTTCAGCTACTACCACGTCAATCATTATACTTTCTACTCATCTACCAGCGTCCACATCAGATCACACCTTTAATTCATTCCTAAAAACCTGGACTCTCCTGTGAGTTCTTCAGAAACTATTAGGATGATTTCTTAGTCTTTTACTGTGTTTTCCTTCTAATTTGGCCACATAATAGCCTGAGGTCTGTAATTTCCCAAGTCCAGTTACGGTATGAAAGCTACACTCATGGTGTCTTATCTTCCCCACAAACTTTGTCATATGCTGTATTGAAACTATTGATGGTTTTTGCATCCACTACCTTCTCACTTGTACCATCCTTCTACTTTATTTGCAAAAGACAACTTTCCTATGTATTTTTGGAACCTTTGTTTCCTTAGCTTGAATCTGTGGCCTTGTGTTCATGAAGTTGCAGGTTTCAAAAATTCCTCCTAGTCTATTTTGTCAATTCCCTATACTGTATTATTTTGTACACAGTGATCATATTGCCTCTTTTTCTTTCTGTTTTCTAGCTTTGGCTTATTTAACACCTTTACCTTTTTCTTTTATCTCTTGTTTTTCAGGTCCAAAAGTTTAGTAGCATGTCTTTGCACCCTTTCCAGTTTGTTGATGTGCTTCTTAAGATAAGGGCACCATACAACTGCTGCATATTCCAATTTTGTGAGAATATGTAGGTGAGCAGAGGGCTGATTTCTGACAGACACAAAATTTATTGCCGAGATGGGAGCAATGAGATAGGAGATTGAGCTAATTGATGAAATTGTGTCATGCATTTGGTTTTGAATATATGAAGAACCATATGCATGGTTCTCATTCACTTCATCAAGAGAATTATTGATGAAGTGAGTGAGTGCCTGGCTGTCTTTTGTTTATATGCAGAGAAATGGGAGTGAGTGATGATCCAGTGTGAAAGACCTATATTGTTCTTATACAATACAATCACACATAATAGATTCCCTACTCTCATTCCCCTAGATATGGACACAGACAGACAGCTTGAACACAAATGGGGCAGCAACTTTACCTTGGATAGCTCCCTCAGTAGCAGCCCATAACATATGCACTGATACTGTAGGGCCAAATTTAATACACCAGACATCTGTGATTGACCTACTGGGAGCAGGTACCAGAATCCTGCACCCTCATAGAAGGGTGGGAGCCAAGAGTCATAAGACTCCACACAGTGAGGAAGTCCTCCCAAAATGACTGAAAGTGAGCATAAAAACTTTAAATGCTCATACACAAAATACCTTGGTACTTTTGCATTCCACCACCAGATGTGGAGCTAAGTCAACCATGGATTCAATGAAATCACTGCTTGGTGCCCCATCCAACACAATATCTCCTGAGACCTTTTTTTTTTTGAGTGAGTGGAATGTTGTTTTGGTCCAATGTTGGATATCATGCTTTCTAATACTCTGTGTATTTGTCAGTCATCTTTCATGTCCCATGTTTGTTTTTTAGCCTGCTTCTGCTATGGTTTTGAGGTTATCTTCCTTGGCATGTTGTTTAGCAAGATTATCTGCAGTTTTCTTCTCTGGTGTAGAAAATTCCTCTCTAAGATGGACTCTTCTTTAACTTTTCCATATCTCAGGTGTTGCCTTTGGATATGTCAACAACCAATATTTGAACTCAGAGTTTCTGCACTCTAACAGAGGGTGGTTGGCCAGATACCTTCCTGCCATGCCTCATTCTTTGCATATCTGTGGTTTGGGGATGGTGGTAACATATTCTTGAGTCCTTCTCCACGTTTTACTGGATCTGATGTCCATGGCATCAACATTCTCGGATAAGCTTTTATTCTTTTAATTATACTGTACATGTTTCCCATTTCAGAGTGTAATGTCTGTGATGCTGTGTTGTGGATTCCACTTGTGAGATGCCATAGGATATAAGCTCAGGGAAGCCAATGAGGGTGGTCATCCTAGAAATAGGGTTGAGTAAAATGAAACTCCCTTTCTGAGAGTTGGTTCAGCTTGTATTGCCCTGATTCCATTGCTTACCAATGAATTCTGGGAAGTTAGATCAGACTTGAGTATGGTGGTGGTGACTGCCAGTGCCCTGGTTGACTAGCACTACCATCTGGTAATGGGAGGCAGAAGTGGTAAGGAGGTATTTTGGAGAGTTGTGAGAGTATGTTTGGCATTTGTTTGTGCCAATTATTTCTCTGAGCATTTTTTGGTGACCACTTTTTAGCTGTTTTGATGTGGTTTCCAAAGTTTGTGGAGTTTTATGACTCCCTTAGCATCCCCACCTCTTTGTAGATGCATGTTTCTGGTATCTGCTCCCAGCATTTAACAAAACATCACAGATGCCTGATGTGTTGAGTTTGGCCCTGGGAAACCAGTGCATAAGCTTTGGGGTGTCAATAGGCCCCTGCTCCCAGATTTGGGGACTGCCCCCCTCCCAGAAGATGCATTTCATCATAATTAATACAAGTTTTACTTTGAGTACTTGTATTTTGTAAGTGATAGAGTAGGGCTTCTAGGAGACATTATTAAGAGAATAAGCATTTGAATCAAGAGACAATAAAAATGAGAATAAAATTCTGAGTACCTTAATATGAATGAATGATTTCCAGGAGTTAATTACAGCTCTAAAGCCCCTTATTAATGAGTAGTCCAGAGTGAACACTGCATTTACTGTTCATTCACAGTGGCAGATATGATATTTGTGTGTCCCAAGTTAGAATATGCAGCACATATTTGGTGTCCACAATGTACCTCAACACGCACATAGACAAAATAGAAAAGTTTAAAAAACCAGCGTTGAATGTAATGAAACGCCATTTTCTGGGTGAGCCCCGGAGGCTCCCTGGAGCTTATCGGGCTAATGTGTGTTATGTTAGACCGGGACATTAGCTATGGAGTTCAGACCTACCAGGGACCAGCGCCAGAACCTGGCCCCTTCAGAGAGGTTTCAGGGAGCAATGGCCCTGGAAAACCCCATATGGTTGGGGGTTTTCCTTATCTGCCATCGACCGGGGTTAGGCACCCAGAAAGGTAGGCGTAACAAAACAAACCCCACATGGTAAAAAACTACAACAAAAACCGAACAGAGA